ACCATTGTGTGGCAACTCCTTTTTAAAGGGTTTCTTGTTGTTGTTTGTCCTTCCTTCTCAAAGAGGACCATGACTTCAGAGGGTGACACCATGACTTGCAAGTGAATTGGATTTAAGTGAGGGAGGGCTGTGCAAAGTCACCATCCTCCCCTTCTCCTCTGGAGCCAGTGGCAAGACATAGATCAGGATGACTGGAAATGGCCCCCTTTTAAAAGGGAATAGCAATAGATTTGCAGTTTCATGTGCAATTATCTTTTTTTATTATACTACATTATAGAAATGCTTGTTTTATTCCATAAATTAAAAATAAAATAAATTTTGAAAAAAGGAGAAAAAAACTTCTCCTCCACCCCTCCCACTCCTGATGCTTCTCAGGGAAGGAAAGGACAGATACCTCTACCCCCTCCCCCTTGTAGAAACATATTAAGGACCTCCTTTTCAGTTTTTCTAGAATTATTAAGAAATTTTTTTTTAGCCTTTCCTTCTTTGAAAGTGTATAGAAAGATAAGAACAGACTTTCTCAGGGAAACTGAGTGGAAACCAAACTTTGAACAAATAGTACCTATTATCTTGTGAAAACCATTTGCCTTCCCCATTCTCTGAAATGATTGGGCTATGGACCTGCCTAGGGTCAATGCCCTCTTCTCCATTCAGAAAGGACTTAAGATATTGATGAGAGAAGGGAGGTCCTTTTGATTATTCCAGGAGGGGAATGGTTAAGGAAGGAATTTGCTCTTGAATGTCAAGCCCAAACTTTATTTTAATATATAATGGTCTTTTTCTTGTTCAAGGAATTATTACTTCAATGTTACTTCAGATCCTTTTTGGGGAGAAAGACATGTCCATGAGGAGATATACCAGTCTGAATATATCTTTCTAAGCTAGAAATGCTTGGATATTAGATTAATATAGGTCAAGTATCTTACTCAAAGCCACACAGGCAGGAAGTGTCAGAGGTAGGATTTGAATTCATGTCCTTTGACTCCAAAGTACTTTCCATTGTACTGTGCTATTTAGTTCATTGGCTGAAATTATTTTCCAGGTGGTTTAATTTGTAAGTGCTTATCATAAGCACGGCAAATCAAGATGACCAAATGTTCTATGAGATGATGTTTCTTTGGAGACATAATAAAGCCAATTCTACCAACTCCCTCGTTGGCCTCCAGTCAGTCAGTCAATAAACATTTATTAAGTATCTACTATGTGCCAGGTGGGCAGCTAGGTGGCGCTGCAGTGGATAGAGCACTGGGATTGGAATCAGGAAGACTCATCTTCCTGAGTTCAAATCCGACCTCAGACAGTTACTAGCTGTGTGACGCTGGGCAAGTCATTTAAACCTGTTTGCCTCAGTTCTTCATCTGTAAAATGGACTGGAGAAGGAAATGGCAAACTCCTCCAGTATCTTTGCCAAGAAAACTCCAAATAGGGTCATGAAGAGTTAGACATGACTGAAACAACTCAACAACAATAACAAATGTGCCAGGCCCTGTGCCAAGCACCAGAGATATAAAGGCAAAAGACAGTTCCCTACCCTCAAGGAGCTTACAATCTAGTGGAAGAATAACATGCAAACAACTATGTATGAACAAGATACATACAGAATAAATTGGAAATAATGGACATAGGGAAGGCAGTAGAATTTTAAAGGGGAATGGGAAAGGCTTCCCCGCAGAAGTTGGCTTTTTGTCTGGGACTTGAAAGTCGGAAGGTCCAGAAGGCAAAGATGAGGAGAGAATATGAGATATGCAACCATAAAATGCTGCCCTGAAGAAAAGGCCCTGTTCCCCATCATAGAGTAATTTACTTTGAAACCAGCAAATGGCAAGAAGAACTTTTTGATAATTTTTGCTTCAAGATATGGAGATTAAGATATTAATTTTATTTTGATGGAACCTGCGATTTGATCAATGTTAAGGGCTCCTAGTGAAGGACTCCTTCTAGCAAAACTGATTAGCACCTTCTCTGAAATGTAAAATCTTAGAGAATTGCCTAAGTCATTGAGAGTGCAAGTGACTTGTTTAAGGTCACACAAACATTGTGTGCCTGAGGTGAAATTCTAACCCAGCTCTTCCTAACTCCCAATCTAGTTCTCCATCCACTACTCTGTGCTGCCTTGCATTATGTCAATATCATCCAAATTTAAGGTTTTTTTTTTTTACATGATGCTGTTTTTTACTGTCTTCCAACTATTATGAAATACTGTGGCAAACAATAGAGGCCATAGCTGTTTTTTAATCATAAAGATCCCAATGGCAAGAAGTGCACAAACTTCAGCTCATAGTTCATTCACATTGTGTGTGTGTGTGTGTGTGTGTGTGTGTGTGTGTGTGTGTGTGTGTTTTACTGGAGTACTTCTCCATGAGTCAGCTAATACTAAGTTATGTTCAGCCCTTGTCTAAAAACAGCCCTAATCTTCAGCAACAGAAGGCTAGAGTGTGTAGTTGAAACAACTTCCATGACATTTGGGAAGCTCTAATTCTGTCAGTCATTTTCTGTTCTTTATCAAGTTTTTCAAAGGAAAAAGCTGTTTCCCTGCATGTGAGAACATTCTCGCCTATCTAATACCACTCAACTTCTGTTCCATCAGCATAGAGGAAAATACCTGTGCCTTCCATAGAAGTCAAGGTTAGACGTCAAAGAGTCGCATTTTAGATTCTCACGTAACTGCTGGTCAGGAGACCAAAAACTTGCCTTTCAGGAAAATAAGTCATCTGTGGCAAGATGACTATAGACTTTAAATGAGCAGAATTAACAGTTACCTGTGGTTAGCATTTATACTTGCATGCTGTAGACCAAGGCTGTCAACAGGGTCATTAATCTATAAGATGGGATCTCTATGAATCATATATTGACTTAGTTTCAAAAATCAACATTATCTATGTTTTCCTGTGTTTGTATTTATTTTGTTAAATATTTGCTAATTACATTTTAAGCTGGTTAGGGCCCTACTTGGAAGTGTCGGCTGTATGTTTGATGCCTCTGCTGTAGAGGCTCAAGAATGGTTTGGTTTTGGAGGGTCTTCTTTATGGGGGAGGGGGTGCAGGGGGGATGCAAGGATGGAAAACATTTTCATATTCCTTAGAGGTTGGAGTAATTGCTCCTTTTGGCAAAAAAAAAAATTAAAGAAAAGAAAAGAAAAAAGGTCAGTAATAGACCGGAGGAAGGAGTCAGATCAGAGTTGGTTTCAAAATACAGTCTTAGTTTTGAATTGTTGTTCATCCTTCACACGTGAAGAGGACCAATGACATCATGATGTTGGGGTCAAGGTACAATGTGTCTGAATGTGGCTTATCAGTCCAATACAAACTTGACAGGCTCTACCACAGATCAGGTACAAATAGTCCACATGAACGTTTGGAGTAGGGATGTCTAAATCTGTGCATCTTTTGAGCTACAGCAATACTGCTTTGCTCATAGAGCACAATGCCTTCTTTGATACAGGCGCACCATACTGGGTGGTCCTTTGCCACTGTCCCCCATGTCTCACGATCAATTCCAAAGTTCTTCAGGGGCACCTTGAGAGAATCCTTGCATTGCTCCTTCTTCTGTGAGCACTAGCCTTGTGCAAGTTGAGGTTGGAATGTTTGATTCATAAACTCAAAAACTTGAGGGTACTCCCAAGGAAACTCCAAATTGCAATTAGTACTGTACAATAAATCTTTCTCTGACTAGAGGTCTAGATTCTGGGGTTATGCTATTTAGGACATCAAAATGCTCCCTCTTCTATACAGACAGTGGGGGTTCAAGAACATCATACATGAACCCTCTCTTTGGGCCATGTGGGTCAACATGTGTCTGTTTGTGCTACATATTTCTGCTGGAATATTATCACTGGGCTGCTGAGCTCTGGAAAGGGAAATAGAAAGCAGACAGTAGCAAGAATCTGGATGTCCAGGAATTCCCTTCCCGGGCCACCTTGTCAAACAGAGGCAGTGGCTTTGGAGTCAGAGGCACTGGGTTCAAATCTGGGGTCTATTATTTACTAGCTCTGTGTCCTTAAGCAACTGATAACTTCTTAGGGATTCATGTGTAAAATGGCGGGAGGGGAAAAGGATTAGATGGCCTCTGGGATCCCTTCCAACTCTAAAACTGTGGTTTTGTGATTCTTTGTGCTTGTGCCCCAAGTTATCATTCCATTAGCTGCTCCTGGAGGGGAAAGGAAAAAAATACCCTCCCTTCCTAGGACTCTAGAAGAAAGGAAAAGTCAATGGAAATTGTGAGGAAATAAGAGCAAGAGAGACAAAAACAGAGGGCTGAGAGTGGCCTGTGGACTCTGTTTTAGGCTGGTACCAAGGGGTGACTCCTCCAATGAAAGTCTCTCCTCCCCAGTGTCTTAGCCAGATGATTCATTCTAGGGGCAGCCTCAGTCTTTGCCCCCCTAACAAGATACCAATGGACATCAATCTTAAAGGGGGAGGAGTACACTCACCAAATTAATGGGGTTGTTGTTCAGTTGTTTTTCAGTCCTGTCTGACTCTTTGTGACTCCATTTGGGGTTTTCTTAGCAAAGATACTAGAGTGGTTTACCATTTCCTTCTCCAGCTCATTTTACAGATGAGGAAACTGAGGCAAAAGAGGTTAAATGACTTGCCCAGGGTCACACAGGTGGTAAGTGTCTGAGGTTGGATTTGAACTCAGGTCTCCCTGCCTCCATGCCTGGCACTCTGTCCACTGGGGAGAGAGTGTCAAATTCCTCTGATCAGTTCCCACAACAGTTATATCAATAAATCAAAATGCTCATCCACTTTCCAGAGTGTTGCCCTGACTTGAGAGGGGACTGTGGGAATAAGGGGTAGTTGAAGAGCGATGGATTTGGAATCGAAGGACTTGGGTTCAAATCCCTTCTCTAACACTACCGGTGTAACACTGGGCGAGTTAATCAACCTCAATGGGCCTCAGTTTTCACAGCTATAAAATGAGGTGGTTGGATTAAGTGATCTCCAAGGTCCCTTCCAGCTCTGGATCATAGCAGTGCCTGCCCTGGTTTCTCTCTTCTTCAGATCTCATTCCAACAATGCAATCAGATTGCAAAATGCTGCATCCTGAACTGCTTTGAGAAAAGTGGCAACCAGGAGCACGGGAATAGAGCAAGATTTCTTTTGTTGTGTTTCACAAGAAGGCCAAGTTTCTATAAGTGGAACATTTGGGCAAAAATAAGATGTTACTGATTGCAAACCGCCCTAGTGAAACAGGGGACATCAGAAACTTCACACCAAGCCTGTGAACCAAGGGTGAGTGTAAGTGATGCCTGCTAAATTGCCCTGTCCCTGAACTGAACAAGGGGACAATATTGAGGCCACTTTGAGGATCTGAGGTGACCCAGGGGCCCAAGTATAGTAGGTGAGTCTACAAGGGTCCCGTCAGTTTTGCACAGCCATGGGCATCAGACAGCTTCACAAAATACCTCTGCAAGGGTGCTCTGGAGCCAGCTCAAATGGGGAGAGCCTTCAGTTTTCAACACGAGCATTCCCACCTCAGAAGTCAGCAAATACTACTGATTGATTTATTGTTTTGTTGATTGTTTAGACTGGAAAGTAACGGAGAAAATGTTAATAATGCATATTCAACTTAAAAGTTTGTCTTGTTTGCATCTTTTACGTCCAGGAGGTTGTTAAACATTTATCAGTACACCCCTGTTACACCAATAGTATACATTGAGTAGACATTTAATAAATGCTTGTTGAAAGGCTGATATGCAAAATGGCTTTGAGAAAATAAGCCTCGTCTGAACAAGTTGTGGTATATGATTGTGATGGAATAATATAAGAAATGATGAGTAGGATGCTTTCAGAAAAACCTGGAACGACTTGCATGAATTGATGCAAAGTGAAATAAGAAGAACCAGGAGAACGTCATACACAGTACCAGCAATATCATAGAATGATCAACTGTGAATGACTTAGCTGTTCTCAGCAATACAATGATCCAAGACAATTCTGAAGGACATATGATGAAAAATGCTATCTGCCTCCAGACGAAGAACTGATGGATTCTCAACGCAGATTGAAGCATGCTTTTTAAACTTTCTTTATTTTTCTTGTTTGTTTATTTATTTTGTATTTGTTTGATTGGTTTGCATTCTCTTTAACATAGCTAATATGGAAATAGGTTTTGCACAACTGCACATGTATAACCTATATCAAAGTGTTTGCCTTCTCAAGGAGTGGAGAGAGGATAGAAGGAGGGAGGGACCTTGGAATTTAAAAATTATTTTAAAAAAATGTTAAAAATTGTTTTTACATGTAATTGAGAAAAAATAAACTAAAAACTTTAATCAAAAAAAAGAACAAAAGAAAAAAAGAAAAGGAAAAAAATAGGCCTAGTGAGGGATAGCTAAAGGCATCAAATAGAAAGAATTCATAGATATATAATTTTGTACATTTCGTGCTAACATACATTTATATTAAAAGCCTCTAAATATATCTTTTTTATATTTTCTGTATCCCAAATGTGCTTATCATTCCATTAAAACATTTGTTTTAAAATAGTTGCCTAGGGGCAGCTATGTGGTGCAGTTGATAGAGCTCCAGCCTTGGAGTCAGGAGGAGCTGAGTTCAAATCTGGTCTCAGACACATGACACTTAATAGCTGTGTGACCCTGGGCAAGTCACTTAACGCTGATTGCCTCACAAAACAAAACAAAACAAACAAAAAAAAAAACAACAAAATAGTTGCCAAAGTTAGTTAAAATGGCGATTAAAAAAAAAAAACCCTAATGATTCTGTGAGCTTTGGATCACATTCCAGGGTGTGGGTGACTTTCTTCCCCCAATAGTTTTATTGGTTTAGATGCCTTTTCACACTTCATTGTCACTTTATAAAAAAGAAGACAGAGAGACTTTTTTCCTGATTCTCAGCTCGTCATCTTTTTTCTTCCTTTCCTGAACCCCAGTGGTACACACTGCCAAACTTACTGCCTTTCATGGCTGGATTAAAAGATATATAGTCCTATACCATCCTTAATTCATGGGCACTTTTTTGAGGCTAAAAGACACTGCTGAAGTGTGAAATGATACATAGCTTGCAAAAGCCTGACCTAATTTCAGTCTATACAAGCGTGAGACTCATTATTTATGTGGATTATGTCCTCATTATAAATCTTGGGTACTCATTTCATCTTCATCATTTATTACTAGTTTAATTTCTCAGTTACTTCCAAAAAGTTTTGTTCCTAAAGAAAGCCATGTGGATGGACCTGCTAGCGGGAGCTGGGAGAGTGAATCTAAAGAGGCGATCCATAGACCTGAGCCAAACTGGCCTCCTTCTTGTTTGTGACACATGCCATGCCCTAGGTTAGTTCCATGTCTTGGCATAGCCATTCACCACCTCATGTGTACTCCTGACACCCTTTCACACCTCTTAAGCTCCCTATTTTAGCTCAGTTCAGACGCTACCTTCTATAGGAGGCTCTGATGATTCGCCTAGCTGCTAGTGACTCCCCTGCCCTGAAGTTACCCTGTTGGGATCATCCACAACCACTCTGGCTGGGGTACTTCTCATGAAGCTAAGCATGCACTCTGGTTCTTTCTGGGATGCTTCTGATGACATGTATGTCCTGGACTTTTGCTGAAGAGCATGTGAAAGGAGAGGCTCCTGATTGGTCTATTGGCTGTATGAGAAAGGGGCCGTGCCAAATAGAATTGACCACTGAGCAAAGACTCTGTAGAGACTCTCTCTCTCTCTCTCTCTCTCTCTCTCTCTCTCTCTCTCTCTCTCTCTCTCTCTCTCTCTCTCCCTTTTTCTCTTTCTTTTCCAGCTACGGTAGTGACCCCTAACTAAAGCCATAAACAATCGTATATAATACCTGGTCTAACCAGGTGGTGACCACTACCTGAACCTGGCCAGCAGAATTCCCTGGGTTCTGGATGGTTAGGTAGTTTCCCAGTGATTCCCCAATCATCCATCATTGATCCCTTGACCAGCTGCCCATGTGACCTATGTGACTTTCTTTTTTTTTGTTTTTAAGGCAATTGGGGTTAAGTGACTTGCCCAGGGTCACACAGCTAGTAAGTGTCAAGTGTTTGGTCTGAGGTCAGATTTGAACGCAGGTCCTCCTGACTTCAGGGCCGGTACTCTATCCACTGCGCCACCTAGCTGCCTCCTTATATGACTTTCTAGGAGGCATACCTGAGGATTATTTAAACCAGTTTCCTATAAAAGTGACTTCCCTATTTTTTTCTTGCTTTCTCAATGTTGGAGGGGAAAGGGAAGTGAGAGGGAGAGAATACTGACTTGAAAATTAAAAATTTTTAAATCCAAAAGTCTCTACCTGAATCAAGCCTGTGGTGCTAGGCATTTGAGTACAGTCAGCTGCTGTTCATGGACCTTGCTATGACCTTCCTGTGCTGCTGGAAGTATGAGCTCCCTCATTTGATCATTTTCTATCAATTTTAATAAAGTTCTTTTGGTTACTATGTTATGGTTCTTATTGCCTTGGTGCTCCTGTAATTCAAACCCAAGCTCTCAATGGGTGACAGTAAGATTAAGAGATCAGGGCCTTCTGGGCCCAGGGTTCTGGATGTCCAGTAGGAGGTGGTCTCTCAAAAAAAAAACAAACCAAAACTTCACGGAATATATGACCAATGACAGGGAAAGTGAGGGGGGATAAGCTCAAGCCATGGCCGTGCTTCCTAGAAGCTATGGACTTCCAGAGAGCAACTCAGACCATGCAGAAAAAAAAAAAAAAGTGAAATAAATTCCTGCCTGTTCAGCAGTCCAGGCATGACCCTATTTGCTACCCAGTCTCTGTAGGTTCAGAATAGGTGGAAGACTTTATTCTGAGTTTTAGTAGATGAACATGTGACTGGCTAGAACTCTTGGAATGAGTTCATATTAGTTTTGTGGTCCCCTGGGAGCATTAAAATTTTTTTTTTTAATTTTAATAGTATTTTATTTTTTCCAATTACATATAAAGACAACTTTTAACCTTCAGTTTTTGCAAGATTTTGAGTTCCAAATTTTTCTCCCTTCCTCCTTCTCCTTCCCCCTCCCTCAGACAGCAAGCTATCTGATACAGGTTATACATATGCAATCATGTAAAATATTTTCACATTAGTCATGATGTGAAAGAAGAAACAGAACAGAAGGAAAAAACCGGGGCGGGGGGCGGGGGAACAAAAAAAAAGTGAAAATAGCACGCTTTGATCTGCATTCAGACCCCATAGTTCTTTCTCTGGATGTGGATAGCATTTTCCATCACGAGTCTTTTGGAATTGTCTTGGATCATTGTATTGCTGAGAAGAGCTAAGTCTATCATAGTTAATCATCACAAAACGTTGCTGTTACTGTGTGCAATATTCTCCTGGTTCTGCTCACTTCACTCAGCCTCTTTCCAGGTTTTTCTAAAATCCTCCCAGCAGCATTTTAACTGGGTTCTTTCTGTAACTCGTTACTTTCCTCTGCTTTTATCTCACTTAAAAAGATTTGATTGTAGCCTTATCTCAATGATGACTATTATTTTATGTTTTTATGTGGCCTTATCTTACTGACCAGACAAGTATTTCAAGTTTTAGGTGTCACTCACTGCCCATCCCTCCAACCCCACCCCAGTATAACCAGAGGGATGAGTGACTACACTAGGTTTTAAGAATTTGCTATATGTACTCAGGATTCTTGTGGTTTAAGCAAATCTTTTTTGGTGTTAGAGGAAATAGCTGCCTTATACCTATTCTATTTTGGACATTGAGGGATATTTCTAGAAGTGATCATGTTAATGTCTTTGGGGAAGATTCTAGATATGAACCAAACCTAACTATAAGGAATTTTTCCCAGGATGCAAAGGGGAGGGTATAATGAGCCAGAGTGTGAGAAGACCCTGGTTCCCAATTCAGCGGGGTCAGGCTCCCTCTGCATCAGCATGAAAGCCCCATGCTAAGTCCTCTTAGGAGGAGAGAGTGCCCTACTCCTGAACCAAGTGCCCATTACTTTTTTTATATAGATACCTATATGTGTGCATAGTTTTCTCTGATAGAACATAGGCTCCTTAAAGGCAGATTTATTTTAGTATCTCCAGCACCCAAAATAGTGTTTGGCACGTAGTAGGTGCTTAATAAAGGATTGCTGACTAA